ACGACAGAAGGCCCTCTTCGTGGCCAGGTCGCGCGGCACCGCCGCGGGGTCCGAGGAGCCGAGGCCGTCCCCGCCGCCGTCGCCAGGGGGGCCCTCCTTGCCCTCGCGGATGGCCATCACGAGCGCCTGCGCCAGCTCCGCCATGCCGCCACTCGGACCAGCTCCTGGCAGCGCCCGATCGGGCACGGGGTCTCCTGACCCTCGGGGGGCCGCGTCCGAGGCGGCCCTCTTGAGCTTCGCGGCGCGCTCGACCAGCAGGTCTCCGAACGACCGCTTCTTCACAGGCCCCTCGCCAGCCGCTTCTGCGCCGAGGGGGAAGCCGTCCAGGTTGACGTCGCCAGCAGCCCGCTTCCCCTCCTCGAAGCGCACACGAGCACCCTCGAGCTTGCCTCCCAGGCCGCCCGCGGCAGCTGCCTCCTCGCCTGCGGCCAGCTCTGAGCCAGGCCCGCGCGACGAGCCTCTCACGCTCAGGAAGTCGTCGAAAGGGGCAGCGCCAGGCGGGGCCCTGGGAGGACCTGCTGCGGCTGGTGGGCGGCCCGCCGCTTTGGCCACCGCAGCGGGCCTCGCGGGGGCGGCGGCGGCGACCAGCGGCCCGAGGCTTGCTGCTGGCCAGGCCGCCTCGGGGTTCGTCTCCTGGCACTCGACGAACAGCGCCCGCAGGTCCCCGAGGCCGAGCTCCGCCCCGTCCGACACGTGGATCAGCTCGGTGCACGTCCCCGGCCCCTCCAAGACTGAGCACGGGTTCTCCGAGCACACGTGGATGAGCGGGCGCACCGTCACCGCGCTCGGCTGGCCAGGGTGGCTGGCCCACCAGTCCCAGTAGCCGTCGTCGCTGAAGAGGAACTCGGCCTTCACGAAGCGCAGCGGCGGCTCTGCGCTGGAGACACGCAGCGCCCGCCACGCGAACCGGCACTGCTCGAGGCCGCCCGCAGTGTAGCCCGTGCTGCAGTAGCATCTGCCCTGGGCCACCGCCAGTGGGACGATCGGCACGGGTCCGTCCTCCATGGGCGCGGGCACGACGGCCTCCGGCGCCTCCCAGAGGTCCTCGTCTCCACCGTCGAAGTCCTCGACAGCCGCCTGGGCCATCCAGCCCCGCGCCTGCCACGAGTCAGCCCAGCGACCCTCGCCTCCCAGTGCTGCCGCCAGGAGCGCGAGGAGGGCGGATGGCGGCCCTCGGAGCAGGCCTCGCGGCCACGAGACAGCCCGTGGCCGTGACCCCGAAGAAATGCTTGGATCTTTAAGCCCAAACAGGCTACGGACGTGTTGGGGCGGCGTGTCCTGGCCAAAGGGGGGAAGACGGGTATACGCATACAGGGGACCAGTATACAGACATACACACCATGGCGTCTCCTCCTCCTTCTCATCCTCATCCTCATCCTCCTCATCTTGCTCATCCTCATCCTCATCGTCATCATCATCAGCAGCATCAGCATCATCATCGTCATCATCATCGTCGTCATCGTCAGAATCATAAACAAGAACCAGCATCACCATCATCATTTGCATTATCATCATCCTCATCATCATCAGCATCATCACCACAACAATGATCATCGTCATCGCCGCCTTGTCTTTCCATCATTACATCCCTAGCCATCTCTGCCAAAGGAGCCATGCTTGCGTGGCCGCGGCTGTCCCGCGCTGTTCGGGAGGTCTCGCTCCCCGCTCCCGGGGCCGTCCACGGCGACGGCGCAGCCGAAAACCGACCGAACGGAGAGCGAAACCGAAACCGAACGAAACCGACAGGCCACAGACGCAGCGAACCAAACCAAAGCGAACCGACCGAACGCACCAGACTGCGACGCAGCCGAACCGAACAAAGCGCGGACACTCTTGGCATCCCCGTGCGAAGCGCGTGCTGCTCGAGCTGCGTTCGGGCCGCGCGAAGTTCGGATATCTCAGGCGCCACAGAGGCAAGCCTCGTCGAGGCGGCTGCCCGCGGGGCGGCCGCGGCCGAGGCGGCCTGTCGCAGTGCTGGGTACCGCGGGCGGCGCTACGGCGCCAGCCGCAGGCACCGCGGAGCCCGTGCTGCGACCGACACCCCTCGCACCAGCCCTGGCTGTGGCCCGTGCGCGGCGAACGGGGAAGCCCCGCAGGGCCACGGGCGCGAGGCGAGGGCAGGACGGCGCTGGAGGTCCCGCGGCGCTCGCCGTGGCAGGCCAGCCAGATGGGCATCCCCCGCGGGGGCTGTGCGGAGGGAACGCCCCGCGAGGCGCGGCCGGCGCCGCGCGCCGCCACCGCGCGCCGCTCGGAGGCCGCCGGCGATGGGGCGGCCGTAGCGGAGCCGCCAGGACGGCGGGCAACGGCAGCGGAGGCAGGCTGGGGCCAGCGCGGCAGTGGGCACCACCACCTCCGGCCCAGGCCCTGCCGCCGGCCGCCCGTGGCGGGGGTGGCGGCAGCGGAACACCACGACGGCGGCAGACCCGCTGCGGGGGCCGCCGCTCGGTAACGGGGTCAGGACCGAGGGCACGGAGCAGGGGGGGCCAAAGTGGAAGCTCGGCGGCTTCGGCGCGGCGGGGTCGCCCAGGGAGCGCTGGAGGCGATGTGGGCCGCACGCAGGCGCGCACGGAGGAACCACGCGCCCGCATCGCCTGGCGACGCCGCTCCTGGCTTAGCTGGGACAGGCGCGGACGCGGAAGCGAGCCGAAGCAGAACTGCCCTGGCAGCGGCACCGCTGCCGGGCTTCGCCATCGAGCTCGCCGACCGGGTGCGGACGGCCCCCGCAGCGTCGCCGAGCCCAGATCACATCGGGGCCCTGGTGGTGACGAGCGGAGGCGGGGTCCTGCGAATGGAGCCTCGGCAACCTCGGCTGGCAGGAACGGGCAGCCGAAGTCCGGGGTGCCGGTAACGTGCAAGGGAGCGTCAGCCCCCCTGCCACTGGGCAGAGTAACCACGGCACCGTACCTCGGTTCTGAGGACGACAAGACCCAGCAGCACATCACGGAGGAGTGCGGGGCGGCGCATCATGGATGAGGAGCACGTCGTCCACCAACTGAACGTCTCGGCGGAGTGCGGCATCGTTTCGCTGGGTGCCGCTAGACGGACGGGAGAAGTGGAGGACGAAGAGGGCGCCGCGGGGCAGAAGGCTCTCCTAGGACGCCTCGACAGGGCACTCCCAAAACGAAGAAAAGACCGCGCACGGGCAACTGAAGCGGATACGTCGGTCGGCTTTTTCGGCCTGCTCCTCCCTTGTTCGGCATCATCGTCCCCATGGCATGATCGACGCTAGTCGACGATAAATCTAAGATAATCGACGCTGAATCGGCACTATCCTCTCGATTACCCGACGCTGATTGGAGAGATTGCACTCTACAAACGGAATTGCGAGGGCATACACGGCTTCCATTATTTGCTACCGAACTTGAGGGATGGGGCCCTGATCGGCTGCACGCAAGTGTGAGCCTATGGGCAAGAAGAGTGACCTTGGGTGCGAGGCTTTCGGGGGCCACTGGGATGCCAAACACCCGAGCGCGCCAGCCGCTGCTGTCGTATCGAGCTCAGTCATCTGGGGACCTCAGTGTGCCCGCACCCAGGGTCACTCGGGCGAAAGGCCACTCTTAGGTGTAGCCGACCTTAGGTGGAGTGGCCTCAGCAGCGAAGGCTCCCCCTAAACGTGGTGGTGACAACACCCGGCGGTGAGTCTCGGGCGATTTGGTGTCACCACCTTGTTTGGGGACTCGAGGATGTCCCGAACGCGGGTGGGTCCAGTAGTCACAAAGACAGGCGGTGACCCCGTGCTCCAAAACCCAGTGGTGACTTTTGGGGGATTCCGGGTCACCACCTGATATCTCACCACCTGGCTTGGGGTCTCCTGGGATCCCCCTCTCCCGTCTCCTCTCAGGGCCCCACCCCTCCAGGGCCCGACCTTTGAAACGCCGCCTGGCGGCTGGCGGCGCGGCGGCGGGGGCGCCGCGGTGGCGTCCCCCGCCCGCGCCGACCTGCCCGAGCCGGGCCCCGGACTGCCGGGCGCCTCCCACTCCCGGAGGTCGACCACCAGCGGGCCCAGGAACCGGACCGGCCCACGACTGCAGGCCTGCCCAGGCACGGGGCCCCTGCCGCAGCCGCGGCCGTCGGGGCCTCCTCTGGCCGCCCCGGCGCCCGGTCCCGGGCCGGCCACCGCTCCTGGGTCGCCAGGCACTCGTGTACGCGGCCTGGACCTGCGCGAAGCGGCGCGCCCGCGGCGGCCGCCGCGGCGGGGCTCCGGCCCCGGGGCTGCACGTCGAGGTGGAATGCCCTTGCGAGCCGCCGGTGCACGGCCTTGACCTCCTCCCGGCCGCGTGTCTGGTCCAGGCCGAGCACGCTGCGCGGGCAGCCGCCGCGGGCGCCGCTCGCGCACGCCCGCGCGGCGTTCGGCGGCGGGCCTCGAGGGGCCCGCGCCAGCCCGGGCGCAGGCGGGGCATGCACGCCGCCCCCACCCGGACCTCGCGGCGCAGCGCGGTCGCCGCGCCGCGGCGCAGCTGGGCAGCATCGGCAGCGCCGGCATCCGCTGGCAGAGCGGAGGGCGCCGCGGGCCGGAGCAGCGGCCTTAAGACCACCGCCATCGAGGGAGCAAAGGGGCACAGCGGGGGAGGGGGTGCCCCACCCGTGGGCGGCGGCACGCGGCGCGCCTGAGCCTCGTCGGGTGCCGGCGGACGCTCGGGCGTGCCACCGCCCGGAGGTCGGCCCTCCCCCGATGGGCTCTCGGTGGCGGTGGTCTCTGCTTCTCCTCGGAGCGGGCGCCCCCCGGCATGAGCAGGAACGGATGCGGAGGACGCGGGGGGCGCAGGCGGCCGAGCAAGACTTGCGCATGCTGGCCTCCAAGGAGGGGTGGCCTTTCAGAAGCCACCCCGGCAGCAAGGTCCAAGAAGCCGTGGTAGGAAGCCCTGGGCCCTTCTCACAAGCCCCCACCCTTCTACGAAGCCCCCCTCGCGCCACACCCTCGCGACGCGCCGCCAAATCTGGGTCGCGTCCACTGTCGACACAACCGCCGCCAGCGCGCCGCACGCGCCGCCGCGGGAGTCCCGTAGGTCTCGCGGAGCCACTTCTCGGCGATGGCGCCCGCGGCCACGCGCCCGATGGTCTCCTGCGCGGGCGCGGGGGGGTTCACACAAATGAATTCACCTCCTGCCCTGCATTGGGGGGCAGCGCGGCGGCTTTTCGGCTGGCCTGGCTTGCGCAACGCATCACGCAGTCCCCAGAAAAGTCCCAGACCTCCAGAGACTCGAAAATCCGTCGGTTTAGAATCCCTCAATTAAGTTGGGTTGTATTATTTCCGCCGACTCCGGAGGCCCTCAGCGGCCCCAAGACAACGAAAACACTACTCGGGACGAGAAACGGGACACTGTTCGGCGGCACCAAGACTCGAACTGGTCGAGTCGTCCGAAGAATGGGAAAAGAGCGAACTACTTACTCACCGCCGATGGCCCCGAATGACACCCCCCTCTCCAGACGGCAGCAAACCTGGCAGGCGGGGTGCAATCTCGGCGTCTTTCGAGGATGCGGGCTCTTACGTGACCCGTTCCCTCAAGAGCCCCACCCCAAATCGCAGCACGCATTGGGGAAGTCTACCTCGACCCCATGGTGGTCGGGGGTGGAGAGGTCGGAGGCGAGGCCTTCCTCGGTGCCTGGGCGCGCCCCAGTTCCAAAACAACAGTTGATCAGCCGTCCCGCGCTCGTTGCTATGTGAACGTTTTCTATTCGGCGCTTCGACATCGGGCGGAGGGGGGGGAGGGGGGGGGTCTGGATCTGGACCTCTGCTGAATGCGACTGTTTGCAGCAGTGCGTCCTATGGGGGAGGCTCCACCTGCTTGAAAAAGGCGCCTAAAATAGCCAAGATCTACTCCACGGGGGGGGAGGGGAGACGGGGCGTAGATGTTTTTCGCCCGGGTTGGTTTTCGCCCGGTGCGTTTCGCCCGGTTCGTTTCGCCCGGGTTTTGCTTTCGCCCGGTTGGCTTTCGCCCGGGTTGATTTTCGCCCGGGTTGGCTTTCGCCCGGGTTGGCTTTCGCCCGGGTTGGTTTTCGCCCGGTTGGCTTTCGCCCGGGGTGGCTTTCGCCCGGGTTGGCTTTCGCCCGGTTGGCTTTCGCCCGGTTGGCTTTCGCCCGGGTTGGCTTTCGCCCAGTTGGCTTTCGCCCAGGTTGGCTTTCGCCCGCTTGGCTTTCGCCCGCGGTTGGCTTTCGCCCGGGCTCGTTTTCGCCTGGGTTCAGCGCCGCGGGGCCCAGCGCCGCCCTGGCCGGCGGTACCGCCCCAGCCGCGGTGCCCGAGGCCGCCAGCCCTCGCTTGGTGCTAACGAACCGGCGTTGGCTCAAATTGCTTCACGCAGGCTACTGCTACAGGATCAAGCACACCAGCAAGAAAGGCGTCTCAATGTGGGAGTGCTACAACTGCTCCGCGTCCATCAGGAGCGCGGGGGCAACGGGCATGGATCCCGGGCGAGGGCCCCGGGCCAGCCCCGACACAACCCGCCCGTTAGGGTCCGCCCGACGCGCCCCGCCCGTTAGGTCCGCCCGCCCGATCGGACCCGCACGCTAAGGTTCGCGCATGCGCACTCGAGCGCGCCCCCATACTTTCAGGTTCTGCCCGCCCGACTCGACCCGCCTGTCAGGGTCCGAGCCGACCCGCCCCGCCCGTTAGGGTCCGCCCGACCCGACCCAACCCGCCCGTTAAAGCTCGCGCGTGCTCGTCCCGCCGCGCCCAGTACTTTAAAGTCCCGCCCGCCCGACCCGACCCGCCCGTTAGGGTCCGCCCGGCCCGGCCCGACCCGTCCCGCCCGTTAGGGTCGGCCCGCCCGACCCGACCCGCCAGTTCGGGCTCACGCGTGCTCACTCGAGCGTGCGTCCACACTTCAATGTTCTCCTTGCCCGACTCGACCCGCCCGCTAAGGTTTGCTCGACCCGACCCGGACCCGCCCCGCCCGTTAGGGTCCGCCCGGCCCGACCCGACCCGCCCGTTAGGGCTCACGCGTGCTCACTCGAGCGCGCCCCACACTTTAGTGTCCCGCCCGCCCGACCCGACCCGCCCGTTAGGGTCCGCCCGACCCGACCCGACCCGCTTCGCCCGCCAGGGTCCGCCTGCCCCGCCCGACCCGCCCGTCAGGGTTCACGCGTGCTCACTCGAATGCGCCTCCACACTTTAGTGTCCCGCCTGCCCGACCCGACCTGCCCGTTAGGGTCCGCCCGACCCGAACCCGTCCCGCCCGTTAGGGTCCGCCCGGCCCGACACGACCCGCCCGTTAGGGTTCACGCGTGCTCACTCGAGCGCGCCCCACACCTCAGTGTCCCGCCCGCCCGACCCGATCCGCCCGTTAGGGGCTGCCCGGCCGACCCGCCCCGCCCGTTAGGGTCCGCCCAGCCCGACCCGACCCGCCCGTTAGGGTTCACGCGTGCTCACTCGAGCGCGCCCCACATTTTAGTGTCCCGCCCGCCCGACCCGACCCGCCCGTCAGGGTCAACCCAACCCGACCCGACCCGCCCCGCCCGCCAGGGTCCGCCTGCCCCGCCCGACCCGCCCGTCAGGGTTCACGCGTGCTCACGCGCCTCCACACCTTAGTGTCCCGCCTGCCCGACCCGACCCGCACGTTAGGGTCCGCCCGACCCGAACCCGTCCCGCCCGTTAGGCTCCGCCCGACCCGACCCGACCCGCCCGTTAGGGTTCACGCGTGCTCACTCGAGCGCGCCCCCCACACTTTAGTGTCCCGCCCGCCCGACCCGACCCGCCCGTTAGGGTTGTCACGCGTGCCCACTTGATCGCGCCCCGCACTTTTTAGCGTCCCGCCCGCCCGACCCGACCTGCCCGTTAGGGTCCGCCCGACCCGACCCGACCCGCTTCGCCCCGCCAGGGTCCGCCTGCCCCACCCGACCCGCCCGTCAGGGTTCACGCGTGCTCACTCGAGTGCGCCTCCACACTTTAGTGTCCCGCCTGCCCGACCCGACCTGCCCGTTAGGGTCCGCCCGACCCGAACCCGCCCCGCCCGTTAGGGTCCGCCGCCCATCAGGATCCGCCCGCCCGAACCGACACGCCCGTGAGAGTTCACGCGTGCTCACTCGAGCGCGCCTCCACACTTTAGTGTCCCGCCTGCCCGACCCGACCCGCCCGTTAGGGTCCGCCCGACCCGAACCCGTCCCGCCGTTAGGGTCCGCCCGACCCGACCCGACCCGCCCGTTAGGGTTCACGCGTGCTCACTCGAGCGCGCCCCACACTTTAGTGTCCCGCCCGCCCGACCCGACCCGCCCGTTAAGATCCGCCCGACCCGACCCGACCCGCTTCGCCCGCCAGGATCCGCTCGCCCGACCCGGCCCGCGTGTGAGGGTCCGCTCGACCCGTCCCGCCCGTTAGGGTCCGCCCACCCGATCGGGCCCGCACGCTGGGGCTCACGCGTGCCCACTTGATCGCGCCCCGCACTTTTTAGCGTCCCGCCCGCCCGACCCGACCTGCCCGTTAGGGTCCGCGCGGCCCGACCCGACCCGCCCCGCCCGTCAGGGCCCGCCCGCCCAACACGACCCGCCCGTCAGGGTTCACGCGAGCTCACTCGAGCGCGCCCCAAACCTCAGTGTCCCGCAGCATCCGGGACCTCCTTGACACCCCCCCCACGTCTCTGCGACCCTTTCGCCTACTCAAGCGGCGCGCCTCAAAGGCTCCTGGGGGTCAGCACGGCGGCGGCGACGGCCACGCCAGCGACGGCGGCGCCTGCTTTTGCCCCTGAGCCTGCCCCGCCTGCTCCCCGCCCGGCCCCGGCGAAAGCCAACCCCGGCGAAAGCCAACCCGGGCGAAAGCCAACCCCGGCGAAAGCCAACCCGGCGAAAGCCAACCCCGGCGAAAGCCAACCCGGCGAAAGCCAACCCCGGCGAAAGCCAACCCGGGCGAAAGCCAACCCGGCGAAAGCCAACCCGGCAAGAGCCAACCCAGGCGAAAGCCAACCCCCGGCGAAAGCCAACCCCGGCGAAAGCCAACCCCGGCGAAAGCCAACCCCGGCGAAACGAAGCCCGGCGAAACGAAGCCCGGCGAAACGAAGCCCGGCGAAAGCCAACCCTGGCGAAAGCCATCCGTGCCGACGGGGCGTAGATGTTTTTCGCCCGGGTTGGTTTTCGCCCGGTGCGTTTCGCCCGGTTCGTTTCGCCCGGGTTTGCTTTCGCCCGGTTGGCTTTCGCCCGGGTTGATTTTCGCCCGGGTTGGCTTTCGCCCGGGTTGGCTTTCGCCCGGGTTGGTTTTCGCCCGGTTGGCTTTCGCCCGGGGTGGCTTTCGCCCGGGTTGGCTTTCGCCCGGTTGGCTTTCGCCCGGTTGGCTTTCGCCTGGGTTGGCTTTCGCCGGGTTGGCTTTCGCCCGGGTTGGCTTTCGCCCGGTTGGCTTTCGCCCGGGTTGGCTT